CGCAAAAGTAAATAGAAGATATCTCTTCCACTCACAAGGTGCAGCTTCTGCTAGGGGCTGCGGTGGCCAGCCCGGCCTGGGCTTCCGTAGTCTATCGTAGCGCCCCCTGCAGGTAGACGAGGAAAAAAGGCCAGACTCGGTAGAGAGGAAGACAGGAAATGCCAGGGCAACGAGTACATCTTCATCACTGTAAAACAGGGAATTGTAGTTTTACTCTCTTTGTCTTTATGATGAAGTAAGATAAAATGGAAACCAAAAGAGAAAGAAATGATTGCTTAGGAAACAGCCTCAAACCTAGAACGTGTTTTTTTAAGCATCTCTGTGAAAACATAACCCTGGGTGTCGGTTAAATCAGCAAGCATGTCAGTTGGCACTTCTGGTTACAGACCATTTTACGGCCATACATCATTCATAGCTGTAAAAGCTATTTGCCCTCTGTCACCCAGCCAATCAGGATCCAGCCAAGAGAAAGCAGAGCAGGAGCCTGGCAGTTTTCTCCAGGCTTCTCTGAATTTCCACAACCTGGTTCAGCAGAATGTCACAGAAAATTAACTCTCCTCGGTTATTAAGAACCCCTTCCCTTCTCCCTCCCCACTAAAAAGCAATATATGATTTCAGGCTAATATTTACCCCATCAGAAGCAACACCTTGTGACGTACAGGGCAAATTGTACACTGGGCACTGCACACAAATCCAGTGAAATCCCTGCTGTTCTGAACTAGTCACATGAAAGGACAGGGATGGGGCGCTGCTCACCCATGCCTCAGCGATTCACTCCTAATGCTCATTTTGAGTAGATTTGAAATTGCTGTCAGTGTCTAAGCCCCCCAGCGACTAACCTTGCTCTGCCCTTGCTTCACTCCCAAGAGTTCGCAGGTTCTCACCTGCGAGAGGAGGAGACTGATCTCCTCCCTGTTATTTTGTTATTGATGCTGAGGAGCCTGCCTGATGATGACCTCAAGTCTTGCAAACCATGCAATTTTGGGTTCTTTCCAAATGCTTTTGCATGGTATCAGATGGTATTTTGCCTGAAATGCCTCCCCAAATCTAGGGTCTTCCCTTTATATTTATTATGGCTTAAGAGTGCTCAACAGTAAAGAATCCACCTGCCAGTGCAGGAGACACAGGTTCAATGCTTGGGTCAAGAAGATCCCCTGGAGAAGGAAATGGCAACCCACTCCAGTATTCTTGCCTGAGAATTACATGGACAGAGGAGCCTGGAGGGCTACAGTCCATAGGGTCACAGAGAGTCAGACATGACTTAGCGACTAAACAACGACAACTCTTAGCACACATCTTCATTTATGAATAAGGCTCACTGCCGTTGTCATAACCCTAGTGGGCACTAGAACAGCCCCATCTGGTCACCCCACTCCATCTCTGCTTGGGCATTTCAAGTGTCTTTGGCCTCTCCAGTCGTAACAGGCTAGGATCAATTTTCCAGCAGCAGCTTGGAAATAATAGTGCGAAATGTATATTAACACAGAAATATATTGTGAAACTGTCCTTAAACAAACAAATGAGCCACTTTAAAATATTACTGCTATAAATGACCATGACACTAGCACAGCACATATAATAAAAAATAACTGCTGAAGAGAAGCTGCTGAATTACTATAGTAATAAACCAGATGTGATTATTATCATTTAACACGGTCATTGAATACCATGAATCCCTGAAGCCATTAAAATATTTATGATTAAACATTTGCTATTCCTTATAACAGAACATATAGTTGGGTACTAAAAAACTGTTAAAGTATTATTTCAGCTAATATATGCCAGTTCTATAATAGAGGTCAACCAACATTGCCTGAATCCTTTAAAAGAGGGATGAACAGCTGCCTCTCCATAGCTGGACATATTTCAGGATGTTTATGCTAGTATTATATACTCTCCTGGTACTGGGAAGGGTGTTTCAACTACACACTACTAAGGTAAAAATATGTTCCTATTCTGTATGTTCATGAACAGATGTGGGCCTTGGGGCTGTTCTGGTCATTCTTCTAGGAAAAAAATGCATGTAGCAGATGCTTTCAAAGGCCTGCTCATATTGCCTTTTCCCTTGGTACTTGTCTTGAGCATCCTTCAGCAAGCCTGTCTCTACCATAAGGGCTTTATCCCACCAGCAGGAGCCTGAAGTCCCAGGGCATTAAAGCTCCTGGAAGCAGCCCTCAGTTGTTGTGGATGGAAGTTGGAGAGAAAATCAGTTTAGTTCAGTTCAGTCACTCAATCATGTCCAACCCTTAGTGACCCCATGGACTGCAGCACACCAGGCCTCCCTGTCCATCACCAACTTCTGGAGTTTACTCAAATTCTTGTCCATTGAGTTGGTGATGCCATCCAACCATCTCATCCTCTGTCGTCCCCTTCTCCTCCTGCCTTCTATCTTTCCCAGTACCAGGGTTTTTTCAAATGAATCAGTTCTTTGTATCAGGTGGCCAAAGTATTGGAGTTTCAGCTTCAGCATCAGTCCTTCCAATGAATATTCAGGGCTGATTTCTTTTAGGATGGACTGGTTGGATCTCCTTTCAGTTCAAGGGATTCTCAAGAGTCTTCTCCAACACCAGAGATAGATTTCAAAAGAAAGGTATGTCCATAAAATTTGGCCAAGATATTTATTTACTCTTGAACTGTGGTGTTGGAGAGTAAATATCTTGGCCAAATTTTATGGACATACCTGTTTTGAAATCTATCCCTTGGCCATGGTCTTGATACCCTCATCTCTTCCCTGATAATTGTTTTCTCTTCAAACTTGAAGTTCAGTTAAATATTAGGTGGGATTGATTTGTTGTACTGAACAGAAGTATTTCTAGAGACAGATTTAATTAGAGACACCTCTGCACTGTAAGGTCAGTCTTCCAGGATCCTTGCTTCTCATCTCTCTCTCTGTTTCTCGGCAGTTCCAGTTACATCAGCAGATGAGGGTTGTTGCCAGGAAGGGGAGCTCATCCATCCACAGAGCATCCTCGTGAAAGCTCAGGAGTGTCGGGCTGCATGCAGGAAAGAAGAGATAAATGAGAATTCTTCAGCACTCTGGCTTGGAACTTACCTGGATATTTTAATGATTCATGCTACCAGAATTGATTGCTTTTTAAAAATGAATACCAACAGTAATCACCTTTCCCTATATCTTTAGAGGCAAACATTTGCCAAGAAATAAGATGCCTGAGTTGTTGAACCCTGCTAGGGTACAATGTGTTGAAAAATAAAGAAGCAGGAATTTTAGAGAGAGACCTAGATTTGAGTCCCAGATCTGTTACTGACCTGGTGTATATGTATAAAGCACACGTTATATAACTCTTTAAAGCCTCCTAACTTGTCAGAGGCTCAATCTTCTTATATGTGAGGTGACCATTGCAATTGTATAAATTGATATAATATATATATATATATATACACCCCATATTAGTGATATGCATTTAATAAATGTGAATTTATTAGATGATGAATGAAAGGTGAGTTTACCCACACTATCGTGGTGACAGTTTAATTCTTGGCATATCACCTATTGGGAATCCATTTGGCTCCCAGGAAATATCTCTCTAGTTTCCCATCATATGATTTTGGCAGTGTTCTACATCTCTATCATGTGGGCTCACTAGTTGCCCTTATACTCCTAAGTTATAGTTGTAGGTCCATCCTTTTCTCGCTGTGGTTTCATATTTGTAGGTTTAATAATCTGGACTGTGGTCTGACGTATGTACTGGAAAACTCACAAAGCCTCACAGTGAAATAAAAAACATTTTCAAAGACGACTCCTGGCTCAGTCAACCCTAATGAGCTATTAGGTCATTAGAGACTCTTTGCCATCAATTAATCATTAGATCAGAAACCATGCATTGATGACAGTGGGGGAATTCATCTTAAAGGTATAGTATCACTAGCATGCAAAGGAGCCTTTTCTGGTATCTCTGAAAATCTGAAAAGTAGATCCATGTGGTCTTTTCAACTTGTCAGTTACTCCAAAATCTGACATGAGGGCTCATCCAGTATAGCAGTTTAAATTTTCAGGTTACCTTGCTTTGGAAAGAATTTCCAATGAAAGGAGAATCAAGGGATTGTTATAGTTTATATGTAGACATATAGCCCAGGTTGGAGAAGGAAATGGCAACTCACTCCAGTGTTCTTGCCTGGAGAGTTCCATGGATGGAGAAGCCTGGCAGGCTACAACCCATGGGGTCACAGAGAGTTGGACACGACAGTGTGACTAAACACCACCATAGCCCAGGTGGGGTAAAACAGGCTAAAATGTCCTTGTTCACATGATGTAAAAGTATCACTGCCTTGCCCGTGGTTTCTGTGGCTTTTTAGGGGCTTGTGTTCTTGGGGGCCTCTTCCTTCAATACGTTGTTAACTGCTGACCTCTGGATCTTGCTTGGATCCCAAGGCTGCTCCATCTTCTCTGCCCTGTGGTCACCAATACACCCTCAATTTCCTCGAGAGCTTCCATAACTACACATACAATACAATATAAAGAGACCTACAGGAAAGAAAAGAGAGAGACCTATGGTGACAATTCTGTGTATTTGTGTGCTTACATGTAGCAAGCTCACTTAGCAATCCAGCTTGGCAGACTACTAACTGTTAACTAAAAATTGAATACTGGACATCATTTTTGGTAATATTGCCTCTATCATAACCACATAAAGGTAACCTCTTGCAGCTCTCCTCCTAAACATCAACTGCCTTGTCCCTCCCCCTCAAAATACCCATCCCCTCTCTCTGCTTCTTAGGCTGCTCCCAGCACATAAAATTACTAAGCAGAGTATTTCACTAATGCTACTTCTATGTCACTAAGCAGAACAATTGTCTTGGGCCCCATCTAAAGGCACCAAAATGACCACCAAGTATTTGCAAAAATGAAGACTGTTCTCTCTCCTAAGATAAGTTCTGTTCCAACTAACAGATGATTTATCTGCAGATATATGTGACATTGATGTAAGTAATCAAAGATCATGCTCATTAATGCTTGATTATTTTTTTTTTATTATTTTCAGGAATTGTGTTGGAGAGCTTCATTACCCACCACTGCATCCACCAAGACATTGTACTTCATGGAATGAAACATGGTCTCCTAAGGGCAATTTTGTTGGATGGTAGGTGAAGTCAAAGTTTGTGGGAATTTCCTTTCTGAAGTTATCATGAGCAAATACAATACAATTCCCAATGGATAAACACTCATTTAAAAATGCTTCCTGGCTCTCTTTAAATGAAAGTAAATGTTATTACCTTTCATAAACTGATAAGAATGCTTTGGGGGAGCATTCTTTTGCTGAAAATGTCTAAGGCTCAATGGGGAGAATGAGTCCTCTTTATCAGTGGGTAGAACCAAGCTGTCAGATCCTTTCTGCCCTACAGAAGCTGATGTTTGATAAAGACTCAATTGCTGGTGGCTTTTACGTGAGAGAGCCTATTAATTTTATTTCACTATCTCCAAATTTACTTTAATGTTCTACAGACAACATTATTGTTTAGTTCTTTCTATTAAAAAAAAGAACTATGTAGTTCTCCAATGTTAATTTCTTTGGTAATCCTGGGGTGGTACTTAGTAATAATGACAATAATCACTTTCCAATTTTGTCTTTTTAACACAGATTTCGCTTGGTGTTGGGAGCAATGCAAGGGACCATTGTACCTTAACTCATTTATTCTCATAGCGCCCCCATGAGGCAGGTATTATGCATGCATGCTAAGTCACTTCAGTCGTGACCAACCCTTTGTGACTCTGTGGACTGTAGACAACCAGGCTTCTCTGTCCATGGGATTCTCCAGGCAAGAATACTGGAGTGGGTTGCCATTTCCTCCTCCAGGGGGTCTTCCCAACCCAGGGATCGAACTTGAGGCTCCTGCAGCTCCTGTGTCACAGGCTGATTCTTTACTTCTGAGATAGATCACTTTTTCCCAGAAGGCTTTCCTGGAATCCCTTGTTATTCTGCCTGACACATTTCATGGTAAATATTTACCCATCTGTTGGCCTCACTAGATCAGTGCAGTCAGGAACCATGCCTGTTTTGTTACCTGTTATCCACTGTACCTAACTTAGCACCTGGCATAGGGTAGGTCCTTAAGTTTTTGTTGACTGACTGGCTGGATCAGTGAATCAGTGTGGAGAGGAATAACTCACTCAAGCCCACTGGGTAAGAAGTGGAACCGAGACCCAAACCCATGGCTCTAAACTCTCAAGTCCAAGCTCTTAAATGTCATATAGCAGTTTCTTCCATCCCATGCCTAGTGCCCAAACAAAAACAGTATATCAATTAGAGCAATAACATGGTAATTAAACCTCCATGCCAGAGCATCCTTTATCACTGGGGAAATGTTGAGTTCCTTCAAGGGCTCTGTCTAAAGAGCTGTGTACTTGGCATGGTGTGAAGTGTTGAAGGGAAAAAGAGATAGAGCCTGTCCTCAAGAAGATGGCAATGTCATGCACTGGGGTGTTGCCACCCTGAGGAGTGTAAAGAGCACCCCCCACCCCTGATGTTCCCAGAAGCACCCCAGGCCTAGCCTCCTCCTAACTGTGGTCAAAGCTCTGAAGAAATCCATCTAATACTCCAAAGTCTGGCCTTGAGAAAATCTTAATTTTCCAAATACAAAGGGTGGGGTGGGGTGAGATGATGCAGAATTGAGGGTGGTGGGGAGTGTGCAGAAACTGTTTTCTTAAATGAAAAGCCAAAATAAAATAAATAAATGAAAACATAAATCACAGTGTCTTCTCTGGGCTCCTGGCTGGAGGAAAACAAATTAGAAAGGGCTTGAATGAAAGGAGTATTGAAGAAGCTTGACTTGAATTAAGTGGTTATATATTTTAAAAGCACTTTGTTGGGTCCTGTAAAAATAGCAAATAAAAAGGTAGTAATATCCCTTGGCTCTTGGAGGCAAACACCAGTAATAAAGTAGATTTCAGTCGGGGGGGATTTAAGAGAATAAACTTCAGGAGAAGGTAAAAGAAAAGCACTGGGCTTAGAAACACTTTCATTTCTCCCTTAATAATTAATGATGAGGTGCTCTCTTTTCAAATAGACATCATGTGTCTTTCTAACACCATTCACTTTCCTCTTAAAATGGTCCCAAATAAAATTTAAGGACATAAGTTGAAATTTTTTTCTTTTGACAGGCAACCTAAAAGAGTGATTTCAGAGCTATTGAATATATATAATTTAGAGTCCTTTTTACAATCCCTTTATACATAGTTTGAGAAAAATTTCACAATGAAAATTGTCACAAGCATCTACCCCAGTTGTCAACAGCTAATTGCAACTCCTTTTTGACCAGTTGTATTGTTATCAATTTAAAAATAAACCTTAACTGGAGAACTTAAAGATTTTTTACAAATATAGAGGCTTGAGCAATGAGTCTTACAAAAATGGCAGTGGAAGAAAATAACATGAGGAAAGTTACCAGGAAAGAGCTCAACGAACTTTCTCCTTGTTAAGAAATGTTTAAATCCTTTTGTTTGTAAATGGCAGGTGGGTTGTACAATTCCAATGTAATTTCAGAAAGCCATCTTCTGAATGTAATAAACATGTCTGCAATAATAGGATTCAGAAAATAGCAAAATGCATTCCAGACGCCCTTTGAATGTGCATACAGAACAGAGAATTTAGCTATAATTGGCTGTAATACAGTTATGGACAGCAAATGACACGCTGTGGATTTGGGTGATGGTGCAGCTCTGATTAGGGATGGTGCATTTCAGCTGAATATCAGAAATAAAATAGTGAGTGTATGGTGACACAGCAGCTTTTCGGCTTCCTTCCCTCCTTCCCTCCTTCTCCCATTCCTTCCTTCCCTGCCTTCTTCCGTTCCTCTCTTTTTAGTTCCTCATTTTATTCCCTTCTATTTAACTGAAGTATCGTAACTTCGACTAGAAAACTTATTGTTATCGACTAACCAACTGTCGGGCAGGACTCCATTGTTTTCAGAGACTAACAATTGTATGGAAAGGGGGGAAGTAAGAGCCCATGGAGAACTGACTTTTGGAGAACTAGATGTAATTTGAATCAAGAATTATAATAGGAAATAAACCATTACAATAAACAAGGAAACATGTACACAATTACTTTCATGGTGTAATTTTATTCACTCTAGTTGAGAAAATAAAGAGATAATACTGACCGTAGCACCTGGGTATTTAATGCAAACTGTAAAATCTATTATATTAAACAAAGTCAAAAGCGATGTGAAAGATCTTGAATCTATTCAAGGCATGCACCTCATTACAGACTTAGCAAATTAAAACACAAATAGGATTAGAAAAGAATAATGTAACAATCTCCCACTACAGTCCCTAGAGCATTAAGTCATAAATTGGGTTTGCATTAAATTGTGCCTGCAGTATTGAATTCAGGGAAAGAGCTGTGGGCTGGAGATAAACCATGCTGGGCTTCTCACCAACTTTGGCAAAGCTATGTGTTTTCTGAGACGTGTAGTAAATTTGTTAGAATATAGCAGGTCCACACAAAAAAATGAGCACTTCATATCTTAATTAAAAAAATGTCAGTGTCATGCCATATGTGGCCTGCAGAGATATAAATGCAGACAAAAATCCACATATGAAATGGAACTGCAGTATCCACGGGTGTATATAGAGGGCTGTTCCAGTAGATGCATTGCCTAATACAGACAAATTGTTTCTTTTTTCTTTTTCTTTAAAAACTCTCAACACAAGAGTTTTTGATGCATTTGTTTTGTTTTTATTTGTTTGGTTTGCAAAATAAGAAACAAAAGGAGAGAGCAAAACCATCCTTTTTTAGAGAACACATGGGCTTTTAGATCATTCCGAGGAATGTTTTTTTCATCCTATATGAAGATGAGACCTTAACTATTCTGGCTCTTCCATAGAAAATTACACATGACTTCATTTTTAAAGGCAAGTATGTGTACTTAAATCAGTTTTTCAAGTGATTCACATTGAAAAACCACTGTCCATATCCTTTCCATTCCGGCTTACTCTAGTTTGTTTCCTAACCCCTGGGACAAGGAGGCTAAATCTGGGAAAAAGGAAATGCTTCTAATTATTTGTTGGAGAAGGAAATGGTAACCCACTCCAGTGCTCTTGCTTGGAAAATCCCACGGATGGAGGAGCCTGGTAGGCTACAGTCCATGGGGTCACAAAGAGTCAGACACGACTGAACTACTTCATTTTCTTTCTTTCTAATTATTTGTATGGTGCCCTTATGTTAATACCAGCTAACTCTTTGCAAATGGACAGGTCAAGGGCAGAAAGTAGGCTGGTGGTCCTTTTTCCTCAGGGCTCTGTCCAAGGGCAGGACTCTATTTTCTCTGACTTCCTAAGGCTGTTAAGAGAATTAACAAAAACTGAGTAAAATGTATAAAAATGTTAGCTTTCTTGTCCCTACTCCATCACTGAGTTTAAGTCACAGAAGCAACCTATGCAAGGCCACCGGCCTTCACTGGTCCCCCCAGCGGAAGGGTGACCTTCTGGCTCGATGATGTGTGCGGGAACTTCTCAGTTCTGCGGTGAAATTGATCCACCTCCCTGAGCAGCAAGTCCCCGGGCCTCTTCCTCGCCTGCCACTCTTTCCTTCCTCCCTGCTGGTTCCCATCCTCTCCCGTCCAGCCCTCGCAGCTGTCCTTGCCTCCCAGCGAAGGGCTTCTACAACCCACTCAGTAGCAGTCTGTTTAAACCAGCATTGTCTATTTTTAAGAGCTATTTTGAAAGTCTAAACGGCTCCCATTTTGGCTTTAGTAAGACAAATATGGGCTAAAACACGCAATGCCCCTTAACTATGATGGATACCCTGGACCTGCTAGAGTTTCCCAGAGCCACAGTGTGGCTGGTCCTGGTGGCAATTTTTTTGCCATGTTATTTATGTGGTGGTTTTACTTCTAATTACGGCTTATGATGGCTGTTAGTGCTGAGCAATAAGAGAGCAAACTGCATTGTGCTATTTAACTCCAGCCTATAAAACGGGTGATAAAGCCAAGGGCTTAAAACCAAAACAAAACCTTCCAAAAATGTAACTTTCTGTGACAAGCTCACATTTGTGGCTGCCATTCTGAGGCTGGAAACTTTCACTGAAGAAGTGCTTGGAGGCAGGTGACTCCTGAGGCCTGGGAACCTCAAATTTCAGCTCCAGCTTCGTTCTTAGTCATCCTTTATTGTAGATAAAACAACCCTGGACCTCGGATGTAATTAACACATGCCAGGTTTAATCAGGACCAGGGTACTTGTTGTTTGGAAACTAATGAAAGCAAATAGATGTTACTTAACACCGTACATAATGAAAGGTCTTTTGTGGTTCTCAATTTTGATTACTATTTTTTGATGCTGAGAAGAATGCCACTTGGTGTGTGTATAAACAAAGAAGATAAATGGCTGGGATGAGAATGAGTTGTCTGTAATCTGATTAAAGCGATAGAGCTGGCTCCTAGGAGAACCGCACTGGGGTTTAATGATTGGTTTGTTGTTCTTAATATGTCTCATGTTCACTCTTAAAGAAATCAAGAAAAATGTTAAGAGGTTACTGATATTTCATTCTGGTGTTGGGCTGTCAGAGCTTCTGACAGGAAAAGAGCATTCTGTGACTGGAACCCAATGTCCAGCCATGTACGTTAATTTGCCCAAATGCTATTAGGAGGCATTTAAAACTGAAATCTGCCCCTTTCACCCACTCTGCTGGCAGAGCCATCACAGACAAGGCAAGAACAGGCTTGTATTTGTTGAAGTTGTGATGTGCGTAAACATCTGAGAAATGCTACTCATCTTC